AGGTATTGCAATGCCCAAGAAAATCAGCGAGACGGGCTACAACTCTCCAAGCAATGTCAGCGGGCTTAGAACAAAGCTTAGATATTTGTCGCGTTAAACGTAAACCAAACTCCGCATTATATGCCACATTAGAAGCCGTGAAAGGGGGAAATCGTACGTAACAAAGCCAAACTACTGAAACAGCAATACCGTTGGCTGTCTCCATAGGCCTGGTGAGAAATTATGGGTTTTGTTACCGGTTATCCTAGTTTTGGAGCATATAAAAATTTCATACGAAATTAGGCCCCTGATAATATCTGTGTAAAAGGGGACATGGTGAAACGAGTCATATTTAGGTCTGATAGATCAAAAGGAGTGTTCCACAGCGAGTGCATTCGAGTGGCACAAATAAGGTCACAGAATGAATCACTCCAGATAAATCGCATGTGCGTGAAAACCTAATGTGAGCGGTAAACTGCCCCTGGGTTTAGCTATTACGCCATATCATTTCGTTTTACTGCATGTGGTGCATGGCTATGCATGAGGCAACATCGCTTTTCAGTCAGTGCCGACATGTTGGTGTCGCCTGGACGGCCGTCTTTGTTGGCTCAGAGACCACTGGATACATCCGAACGCCTCCAGAGACTCTAGTATGCTCCCCTCTGGAGAAAATCCCCTCCCCAATTTGGAACGCATGGCCTACAGCGCATAGCTCGTTTCACAATTTATCCGTCCTAATTGCCAAAATCTCCAGTCAATATTCACCTCCTTCATATTTCCCTATGGTGTAAGAGATTCCTCCTTTAGGAGATTTGCTGGTTCCGGTTCTAATCTTCCGTCACTTGTGCAAATGTAACAAACGCACCTGTTCACTTCCTCATCGAAAACGAGGAATATTGCATTCAAACACACTTAAATTGAAACCGCATGTAAGCTCGCAAGGTATCAGGGTTGTGCGCTTACATTTTTTTTTTAGCTTGTTACCGTCCAGCTGATGTACATTTAAACTATGACAATGCATTTGCATTTATATGATGGCTTGGTAACATTAAGAGGTAATGCAACGCTAAGCTAATGCAACGACTTTATGATTGAAAATAACCCTGCGCTATTTGAGTGACAACGACTGGAAGCCCGCACGATCCGCTGCACCTTGTTCGCCATTCCCCCTCCATTGACAAACCGCCTCGGAATGCCACAATTATCTGCCGACCGCTTGCCCCGTCCCCTACCCTTGATGACACCCACCCTCCTGACCACTGCCGGCGTGGAGTGTTACTCAATTATCGCTTACCTCCATGCGGGTGTTTTCAAACTCCAGTGGCACGTGGAGCCGCTTCTGTTCTGAAATGGCACCCATTCAATTTGTTCCCTCTTCGGGTTCCGCCCACCTGTCTACCACTTTGTTACCCACCCAACGGGGCGCCGGACACGGCAAGCTGGTGCTTACACGCAGAATGCAAACATCATTGGAGACAAACATAGATGACACCATTGCACTGGCCACCCTCAAAAACCCCCTATAGTATATTTTCATCGTCCTCGTAAACATACCTTGACATTTTGCTTGGGCCCGCCAGGATGGTGTCTGGTCACACGCCGGCCGGGAGTCAGTAAGCTAGGTCTTACAAGCATGTGTGTGTGTGTGTGTGTGTGTGTGTGTGTGTGTGTGTGTGTGTGTGTGGTGTGTGTGTGTGTGTGTGTGTGTGTGTGTGTGTGTGTGTGTGTGTGTGTGTGTGTGTGTGGGTGTGTGTGTGGTGTGTGTGTGTGTGTGTGTGTGTGTGTGTGTGTGTGTGTGTGTTGTGGGTGTGTGTGTGTTGTGTGTGTTGTGTTATGTGTGTATGTTGTGTTTCTATGGCTGCATTTGCAAAGACAAGTATGAACCCGGTGGGTACAAAATATATCATATCGTTGTTATTATATTTAAAGGGAATGTTCCACATTTGTATGGCGGTTTGAACTGGAATAGCCATCTTGACGACCTTTTGATGCAATTCACGGTCATATTATTTTTAAGACCCAAAACGACTTGGTTCCTGAGTTACACGACCGCAACGTGTCAAAATCCTTATATTTCCCCTATTTCAAAATCGCCTTCTGATTAATGACGCAACAGAAACGTCATTAGATGCCCGTGGTATGATTGGTTGTCGGTTTGCTTATGTTTCGTTTATGACAAAAACCGTATGGTGGCTGATTCATTCGCAAAGGCGATGCTGCTGCATATGTGTTAGAATACGCGAAAGGTGATTGGCTGTTATTAAGGTTGTACTGCTGAATGCGTATCGCGAACATAAGCGTGAGCAATTTCGGGTTGTGCGGCATTTGTCGACGGGGCATTTTCCCCCCATTTTTTTCATTTTCCCAGGCAGTGTCCTGTTTGCATCGGTAGGGGGTGCGGAACATGGGGTGATGTGTGTGCGGTGATCGCAGGACGAAATAAAATGATTTGACTGTGTTCGCTTAAGTACCTCGCTCCCAATCTGTTAAAAACACTTCACGCCGAATATGTCTGGCGTATCACTGACGTCTCAGCAATAAGTTCAGGGTATGCACGTCTCAATATGGCATGCAGCCTCGAGTATGGTGTGCGGTCGCTTTCCATTGTTGTCAGTTTGAGGAACGAGCCTGCAATCAGGGGCGTGTTCGGCCAAAGGAAAATTATTCAACGAATAGTATTCCCTCCGATAATCATCCATAGAGATTTTCCATTTACGCTCGACCGGTCCGGAAATTATCCCCCATATTAGTCTCCCATACGCCATCCACAGCCAACGGTCATAGCTATGCATGGCGAAAACAGATTCTCCGTCTTGACCATGCTCTGAAAATTCTCCGGGATTCTCCATCGCTACGAAAAATTATCGGACAATTTTCCGTGACGGCACTGCCGAACGCCATTCCTAAATTTCCAGTATTCCGGATAATTTTACAAGAGCACCTGCCGGCCGGACGCGCCCCGCAAAAATGGCAAAAGTGCCTTCAAACATGCCGGCAAAAATGCTCTCGAAAATAAACCAAATCTTTAAAAAACAGATGCACGCGGCAGCTGAATAGTGAGTGCAAGTGCTAGGAGCTGGGCTTACGGTTGCCATCAATTTCAGAAATAGTTTTGTTTATGTACCTCATTGCTACAAAAAATATACAACATATTAATTTTGAGAGTAACTGACTAGAGCCAAGTATGGCATGTTGGTTGAGGACATTGTATGGCACATTGACAAGTAGCTTTTGATAACATTTTTGAGTAAGTTCAAATACTTGTACTTGTTTCCATCACTAGGTTGTGGGCACCACATGACCAAGGTAGTTGGCGCGCCTTTAAGTTCAAATCATCATCATCATCATCGTTCTTGTTTCCATCTCCTACCTATCTCACTACCATCATGGAGCTACATCGTAGCTATTTGATGTAACCACTTCATAAACAGATGACTTGCATAAACTTGCATAAACTTGCATGAACAGTGTTAATTTTGTCAGACAGGCCAGGATCAGGGATATCAGTAAAAAATTATTCCATTGTTCCAGATTACAGGAATCATCAGTGTGCTCAGCTTGTCAGTGAACTCTATGTGCTGTAATCAGATTTGCACTGGGATGAGCTCCGAGCTGTCATTCCGGCAATGACATTTTTTGGGTATTGCCATGCTGCTGCCGCTATTTTAAAACACAAATTTGCTTACTATTAACTAGATTTGGTGACAGCTATGCACCATGCTCACAGCTTGCAAAGTTCATGGGTGCATGGCCTCAGCGTGTACTACTTATTTTTGGGATGACGAGCATTTCAAAAGGAGTCAGACATTTTTGGCGACCCAGATGTACTGATGAATCGCCACTTAGCACAAAGATTAACGCACACCCTGTGGGCAGATGTTTTCGATTTGCATTACTCATTTGAAGTAGAAGATGTGCATTGTATTGTAGAGTAATCCAATTTCCCAATTATTGTGATCCTTTCAGATTCCCAGCTAAACAAGGCCACCAACAGAAATGGCTTGATGCATGCGGTATCAGCGTTGTCAAGATGGGGCATGGAGTGTGCCAGGCACATTTTCCATCACATGCCTTTTCCAGCCTGGCAGTCAAAAGGAATAGGCTTAGGGCCAATGCTGTGCCCTCTCTGCGCGTTTGTGAATGCCTAGGTTTTCTTTATTTCTTTTTGTCAGACACTTCATTTTAAGCCTTGGCATTCAGGCTTGAACTTATTCAACATTAGAACACACATGACATTTCTGTGATCACCTTTTGTCTCATTCATTTCCATGTCCGCTTTCAGTCATTATTCATTCATGCATTTCAGTGTGCTGCAGTCATGTCTAACATCAACATTTATATGATGCAAGTAAACCATTGTGTTGTGTTATACTCGACACACATGTCACAGTGCTGTCCTATAACCTGCACAGGTTGTGACAGCTTTGTTCATTGTCAATCTTTCTTACACTAATCGTTGATGTCCTGAATTGTTTTCAGCCCAGGGAAGGTGTTCCAGGCACCCCTGTGCTTCCTGTGTCTACATCATCTCAAATACCAGAATCCGAGTCAGAGTGTTTTCTTTTTGGGTTGGATTTTGAAAATTAGTTTACTTTTGAACAAGAAGATTGAAATTTGTTTTACAAAAGTTATAGAACAAACTGCATTAAGTACTGACATCAAGATGATTAAATTCGCAATAATGATTGATATTGACATTGTCTTATAATGACCATATTGTGCCAAACACGAGGAACTTAGTAAGACCTACAGGGACTTAAAGGACTACATGAGGCACCTAGATGACTAAAGGGACTAGCAGCCTGAAATCTGTCTAATTAGTGAAACTGCACATTTGCATCTAGTATTGTATGGACAATGCTGTATAAAACATTAATGCAGCTTGTTTACTCCTATGGTCTAAACCCAGAGCAGAGTTACCAATAAGTTCCCACCTTAGTCGTTGCAGTCATCGTCATAGGTATTAACTCCGCATCTGCAGTCTATTACAATTTCCATTTTGCAGTGTGTTATGTTCCAGACGATCGGCAACAAACAAGAAGCTGGTGGTATCCAGCAGCACATACATGATCCTGCGACGTGCGATGCGAAAGGCCGGCCTACCAACAGTCAAGCGTAACATCCTGCATCTTGCTAAAGGGTAACCATTGGTTTGTTCAGGCAGCAGAGTGCTGTTTAGACTACGCAACCTTCCACCGTGCAGTGTGCACACAGCTTCAGGAGCACTGCTTGTATGTACTGCGCTTGGCTATTATTGTTTTACAACGGTGCCTAAGCCCATAAGGAAGAGGTTATCACCCATTTTTCTATGCAAATTTTCTCGTATCTTAAAGATCTTTATAGCACGATGTGAGTTGTTTCAAGCATGCTGCACCTTGCTACCTTACTGAACGTGTGAATTAAATTAGATGTCAACAATTAATTCCGAGCCTGTGAATGCGTTTGCCATCCGCATGATTGCCGTGAGTGCAAAATAAATCCGCAGCTTTCAGTCACGTTCATCCTGTGGTTCCCCTGTTTTGTGTTTTTAAGCAGTGCCTCATTTCACTACAGGTACCTAAGGGAACCTGGTGGTGGTGATGGCGATAGGGGGCACGCTGGAGGCGACAATGTGGGTGGCGATGGCGACACGGATGACGCTGCGCACTTGGCCATGCCGAGTACATCACGGACGTTTCATTCGCCGATGTTAGTAATGTCTTCTAATGTTGTGCATGTCTCTTTCTTTATTAAGAAAAATTGATAACATGACTGTAACAATTTCTGTTGTGATATAGGCCTCACAGCGCCGGGTCATGTGACCCGTCAGATCAGTTCACGGATCACCAGCTGACTCGTGCCCGAACCCACGGGGCAGTGGTAATCCGGTCGCTCGCGCGTGCGCGTGTCGCTGTCGTGAGGTAATGTACGAGCCGAGCTAAGATCCTGCAAGTGAGACCGAACAGCTTCAACACTGTTGATTTCAAGCCAGCGCCAGTGCTGGTTAACTGGTTAGCAGCAGTGATGGGTATTCAGCTTGCCATTAAGGCTCAGTAAATTTCTTCGCGGATTGTGGTCAGCCTCCTCTAATAATACATATGACCTTCACAAGCTGAAGCCTTAAGCTAAAGCCTAGTCGAACCGTGATGTTTCCACCGCTCGTTATCTTTCGCTGCACCGAGCGCGACCTGGACCGGGTCCGTGGGCGACCCTCAGCCGTAAGGCTGCGGCCGCCGCGTGACCGTGCCGCCGTCTGACCTCGCCTGACCATCCCCGCCAGGTGTTCGTGGAGGCGAAGCGGGCGGCCGACTTCATCGCGTCGCACCTGTGTCATTCCAGGTTCCCGACCACCAGCATCCACGGCGACCGGCTGCAGCGCGAGCGCGAGGAGGCGCTGGCTGATTTCAAGTACGGCAAGACGCCGACGCTGATCGCCACGTCGGTGGCCTCGCGCGGCCTCGGTGAGTGTGGCCGCCGCCCCGGGGTCGTCCGCGTCGGCGGGGCTCGTGCGCTCGTGGCCGAAAGCGAACGCTGCGTGGTTGGATGCCAGGCGTGTTGTGTGGCGCGTCGTGGTCAGGCGTGGTCGAGATTTTTATCAAACAGAGGTCGAACTGTTGTGCCCTCCCCTGAGCAGTTATTGTACCTGCGTTTGGAGTTAGTCCATGTCAACGTCAGAAAAGATCGGAACGAAAGTAAGCAGGGGAAAGCAAAGTCCCCGATCCAACAGTGAACCTGATCCAGTTTGCATCAGCACAACGCTTACCAGAGATTAATTCGTTGGTAGTAGTTTGTTATTTTGTTGGTTATGTTAGGTAGACTGTTGCGACATGCCGGATACTGTTCCCACTGCATCCGCATGACGCGGCGCAGCCCTGGCTAACCGACGCCCCTCCCCCAGACATGGAGGGCGTGGCCAGCATGGTCAATTATGACCTGCCGAAGGCCATCGACGACTAACTGCACCGGATCGGCCGCACGGGCCGCGTGGGCAACACCATCAGCTTCTACGACAGCGCGCTGGCCGCCGACCTGGTGAAGATTCTGACCGGCGCTGAGCATGAGGTGACCGACTTCCTGCAGCGCGACGCCGGCCGCGCCGACTTCGGCGGCGCTGCCGGCGGCTCGTACGCGTCACGCGACATCCGGCGCGGGGTGAGTCTGGCCTGTGCGGCAGGGACGTGACTGGCGCGGGGTAGCGGGAGGAACGCGCCGACAGGGTGTCATTCATGGTGCTCGTGGCGAGCAACATTTCGACATTATGCACTATCTCTGCTTATGTCAGTTACTCCTTACCCAGGATAATTCTCAAGTGAAACGGCGGCCGCTAGATGATCAGACGAGAGAAACGACTCGTGTGCGGAAGCCAAGTTCTACCCAATTTCAATTCTACTCTCATGAAATCATTTGAGCAGAATTGGCAACGTTGCTGATAAGGTAACGCACATTTCCTACACTGCAACGGAATCTACGTTGCAGTATCGTTCTGACGAGGAGGCTTTGGCTGTCAGTTTGGGGCACGCGAGTGTTCACGCCTAGATTTCGCCGGTGTGGTCCAGCCGCGTTGTCCCGCGTTGATTTATGTGAACTCGCCAGCCTGGTGTAGTGGTGTGATCGGCTCAGGTCACGGCGCGTCCGGCCGGTGACGCCCGGCATCTGACTGACTGTTGGCTCGTGCGCCCGCAGTTCGGCGGCGGCGTCGGTGGCATGGGCGGCGCGGCGGCCGGCTACAACCAGCAGCCGGCCACCACGGAGGCGGAGGAGGGCTGGGACTAGCGCCCGGAACGGCCCGACTCGGCGTCGCCCCACCGTGCCGCGTGCCGTGCCGCGTCGTGGCGGCTGTAGATAGTGTTTCGGTTGTGTTAGCCAGGCGGGAGTGGGCGCCTGGCCGGCGGCTTGTTTCTTAGCGGGTTGGCAGCGGCCGGACCCCGCGCCGGCGACCGGCGTCCGCGCCTGGTGGGAGCACCGGGATGGCGGCGTTGCGCACCGGTAGCGCGGAGACGGCACACCGCATTTCGTGACCGGCGGTATTCCACGAGGAAGCTTGGCTTCGTGCCCGTATTCTGTGGCGGAGCGGGCGGGGGCCGGGCCGGCCGACATTGGCTGTGAAAACCGTCTGGTCGCGCGCGCGCGCGCACGCGGGAGAGAGAGAGAGAGAGAGAGAGAGAGAGAGAGAGAGAGAGAGAGAGAGAGAGAGAGAGAGAGAGAGAGAGAGAGAGAGAGAGAGAGAGAGAGAGAGAGGGGGGGGGGGGCGTCCGCGTCACGCCTGGCCCCCGCGTCTCAGGATGGCAAGCGCCGCTCGAGGCGCGCTGTGGCGTCTGGGGACAGCCGGCGCGTGTCTGCCGGGAGCCGACCCGGACCATGCAATCCGGAGCCGCGTGCATAGCACGCGTTCAGTTACTTCTAGTTTATTGAATTCGCAGAGTCGAACAAATATGTTTTTTTATTGGTCCGTCTCTCGATTCTCCGAGACCTGGGACAAAGACATTGACACGTAAAAAAAAAATGGGTACCTTCCTGCCAGGGTGAGAGGCAAGCGACCTCACACGGTCTCAGCAGCAGTGTGTCGTCGAATGCGTCGTTGAGCTCCAATGGCGACGGCAAAGACGCCAGGCATGACGCTGATGCTTCATCTGCGTCCATTTACGCAGGCGGCAGCGCTCAGAAACACGGGTGGCTTATTTAGGATCCTCCAGCACAATCCAGCCCGGCTGGTCACATCCAAATTCCACAACAAGATCCGACGAGCCCAGGAGTACGGTATTCCACCCGCCGCAAGGCGTGGCGAGGCAGTGCGCGTGTCTCACCTTTGAACCAGGTGAGATCGGAGCGCTTGGAGAAGAGCGTGGTGCGGGACACCAGTCTGTTCTCGGTCAGGGCGACGCACCCCACCTCTTCCAGGGTCTGGAGGAGGGGGAAGGTGTTAATGGCGCGGCACGGTCGTGCGCGAGGCAGCTGGGCGCGCCGGCGCCGCAGCGACGGTGGCAAGGCGGGTAGATCGAGAGGCGATGAACCGGACGGCCTGGTCGGGGGCGACGAACACACGGAAGGCATGAGCCAGAAAGCCTGGTTGCTCCGAGACGGTGGCCGCGCCCCAGCGCCGCCGGATTGGGAGACAGACATTGCTCAGACGGCAGCCTTCTCCGCCTACCGCGTGAGCTGCACCCTTGACACGTAGCACACTGCGCGACCGCGCTTCCAGCGACGGAAGACCGGCCGCGCCTGGGCTGCGCAGGCTGCTAAGAGGCGGGGGTCGGGGTGGAGGCAGACGACACGCGGAGCGACAGCAAGGCCGCATGGACCTCCAGCAGTTGGCGCGTCCGCACTGCCGTCAGCATGGGGTGGAAGTGGCTCTGGACGGCGGCGAGCGGGCAGGCCGGCCACGTCATGCAGTGGCTGAGCACGGTGCCGGAGAACCGGTCCAGCACGCGCCGGTTCACGGAGCCGCCGACGCGTCGCCACGGCGCCGTCTGGAAGAACACCGGCTGCATGTCCCTGCTGGGCCCAGACGGGGCGGCGTCAGAGGGCGGCCATATGGCGCTGAAACACTCGTAAGCACTCGCTAACGTTGGATACGTAGCGAAGCGGAAATGGACTCAGGTGCTAACGCTGACACCTGCGTTCAAATATCACGTTTCCTTGCAATGTTGGCCTCGACAGTTTCTGCACTCCCCAACAACGTGTGCAGCGCGTTCTATGGCAATCCCCACACTCGAAAAGCAACCCTACATACCTCCTCGTGAGCGGAACGGACACAGGCGGGGGAGCCTCGCTTTTCACCGCCAATCGTGTTCATCCCATTGTTGGGACTGCCTATAACGAAGGTTCTAAACCATTTTTGACGAATGTGGATGCAAGATTGGATAATTATACCATGCTTTATCACTTCACTCCATCAAGTCCCGTCACCTTTCTAACGCCATACATGACACCATAAATTCCAATGAAGTTGAGTTACAAAAAACTCTGAACAAATCTCGCACGGCTGGGCCAAACATCTCACTTTTCAAGCGCTATCAGCATGACACCAGCGAGCTCACCACCACTACCTCTTTGGCAGAGACATGCCGGAGCTGCCTCAGAACGTGTAAACGCCAGAACGGGCACCATATGGCGCGTATTCACAGCACCTGACAGCCCACGCGACAAACCACACCCTTCCCACCTCCACGGGGAGCTGCGTCCTCCACGAGGAGCAGCCACCACTGCAGCACACAAGCCGCCACCTACTTGCGGCTGGAAGAGGCTAGGTCGCCGCCGACGGCGGCCAGGCCGCTGGCGGCCGACTCCTGCTGCAGGCGCGTCAGGTGGTACGAGTGCAGCACCCAGCGCTGGCCGAGCGAGCGCGCCACGTACAACAGGCGCGTGACGCCGCCGCGCAGCAGCAGCTCGTACTGCACCATCAGCGCCACTAGACGCCGCAGCTCGGGCCGTGCCAGGCCGCTCTCCTCCTGCCCTGCCCGCGCAGCGGTGCACCAGAGGGCCCGGCGCCCGCGCGCGCACTACAGTCACGGAACTCACACCGTCAGCCGAGACGGAACGGGGGTCAGAGAAGGGTCTGGTACACCTCGAACTCGGGCACGACTCTGCACCGGTCTGCACGACTCTGCACCAGCAGCTGCGCCGGCTCCATGCCCAGCTCGCCGGCGTCCTCCAGTATTGAGATCAGCTGCTTCACGTGCGAGGCATCCCAGTCGGTGAGCGCACCCTCGGCCCGCAGCCGCTCCAGCACGGCCGCCGCGTCCAGCGCCTCCTCCGACAGCAGATACTTAGTAAAATCCAAGGAAGACCCTGTTCGTTGGCACATTTTAGGGGGATGCGTTATTTTTCATTGACCAGCCTCCAACCCATTTTGCGAAACTACGCCGCTGTTCATTGCTATCGCATAACAACTGACGGAGCCCTACAGCCCGGCATGACCCACTCCAGAATAAGCGAGTGTGCAGTCTGCGCGAGACGCGACACGAGTGACGCGGCTCGTCCTCGACTCTCAGTGAGTACAGCAGGAGACAGCAAGCCTCCGCCCGCCGGCCCAGACACGCCCCCTCCGCAGCCCTGAACAGCTGACAACACCAACCACAGCGCACAGTCCGCCGGCCCGCAGTGCTCTGCCAGAGCTCGGGCGTCCGAGCGGCGGCCTCACCTGGCGAGCTTGTCCCGCGCCGTCTGCGCCAGCCGCGGGCTGACCGGCATGTACTGCTCGTCCACCTCCATGGGGCCCTCGCCGTCGGCCGGGCCGCCGGCGGCGCTCTCCTCCGGGGTCACCAGGCGCACCAGCACCGTGAACGGCGCGATGTGCAGCTGCTCGTGGTAGTTGTGCGTGTCCTTCCTGGCGTCGGCAGCGGGGCAGAGGGTGCGGGTAAGCACGGCGTCGGCCGGGCACCGACGCCAACATATCGGGCCGAGCGTTGCCGTTTGGAAAGTGGCTTC